TCCCGTGTCATCACAACAGTGTAGAAAGACCCAGAAAGGAGACCAAACAAATCAACACACACCCCACTGGGTTCCAGCCCCTCGAGAGCAGAGTCTGAGCCAGAGAAATCATTGCCCTTTCACCCAGCACAGTGCATATACATGGGAGGTGCCCGTTAAGTGAATGAGTGGGCTTAAAATTTGGACATTGGCTGCCGGTGAGGGATAAGGAGAGAAGCATGCTACCAGGCCACCACTTCAGAGACAACTGATTTGGCTACATAGGGTGATGATTTTAAAGGGTGGGTCTCTGTGACTTGAAAGAGACCCTAAATAAAACAAGACTTGCTCCTGGTTCACAGGAAGATGATAAAATGACCACATTCAATCTTTCATTTGGTAGAATTGAGGTGAGGCAGAGTAGTGCCAAGGTGAGGTGTGGAGAGAAGATTCCCTAGGACTATGTATGAGCAGCCATGGTACTCATCTCTGTCCAGTGTACATCACTGACATAAATCCTGCAACACTTGTGGTGCCTACCTTCAACTCTGACCCTGCACTCCGCCTTGCTGGGCATCAGTAAGTACAGCTATTTAGCAAGCAGGAATCACACTCCTGTATGTCAGGAACGTGATGTTACTGACAGCCCCTAAGAAGCAGGTGCATTCTGAGAGGGGCAGGAGTACAGTAGGCAGTGTGACAAGTGCTCTGTTCTAAAGAACCACAGAGGATGGCATCTGAGGAAGGACACCTCAGGGTGATCTCTAACCTCTACGAACATGCTCATACACAAGCCACACAGTCATACAGACACACAAATACCCAAGGCCACAAGATGCTATGTGTGCCCAGAGAACAGGCACCACACCCTCCATCCTTCCTCATAGGAGGCTGCTGCTGTTGAATAGTGTAATGAATGTTGTACTTTCAATGCGACAGCAGGACTAGCACACATGAGCAGCAGATCAGTCATGTGTCCCCAGCTGAGGAACGTAAAAGCAAAGAACCATGTTGCCAGAGTCCTCTCTCTCTGAGTGTCCCCTCTGAGCTTTTTCCAGCAGATGAAGCCTTTGCTGCAGATGTGAAGTGGCACCACGCTTTCACGGGAATCCTCTTCTCAATAAAGCTGATGGGGGAGCAGCCAAATCCGAGCATGGCTGCCTAGCCACGTCCACAGTTAATGGTGGCATTGTGAGCAGGGGTTCTCTGTTGAATGAGTCTTGGCTTTGGACAAAAGCCTGGACTAAGCTGCAGACTAACCAGAGAGATTGCCTACTGTGGAATGTCCCAAATACCACTGGCATGGAATGACAAAAGGCTATCGGAAAAACAGCATCAAACCCAGAAGCAGAATTTGGTGGGTGAAGAGACGGCCTCGTTCTTTGAGTATTTTCCAGCTTTCTCTTTCAGTGTGTTCAGAAAGTCTATAGTCATAGTAGCCTTATTGCCTAGATGCAGAAACTAAGGGCCAGACTGTAGGGAACTTGGTCTGGAACACACGTTAGGTAGACTGTAGAACCAGAAGTGGAAACAGGGCTCTGTTTACTATGCAGCACAGTGTTTTGTGAAGTCCAACAAGTCTTAGATCCTGGAGTGCTACCCATTTGATAAGTGTAGACTCTCCTTAGGGCAAGAATAACATTCACCAAGTGAGAATGCTTGTTTACAAGAGACCATGATACAGTACACCCTAAATTCTCCCATGTGTGAGAATGACTACTTACTGCCTTCTACTTTAGCTGGGTATAATATTGTTGGTTAATACTTTCTTCTCTTAGGCTTAGAAACTCTGCTCCATTTTCTTGGTGCTAAATGTTAGTCAGAGAGAAAACAGATTCCTGCATAACATCTTTCTAGATTTTTTTCAGAATTTAGTTTAATTAGAATAACCTGAAAATGTCTATTGCTTATCACTTATGTCATTTTCCCCCAATGAGAGTGATTCTTTCATTCAAATCTATAGATTAAGTTCTTTGCTTAATGAAACATTCATTTCTTTTATTTTTAATCTGTATTTTTATTGTTGTTTGGTTTTTTTTACTTCAAGAACTTCAATGGTCCTCTGACTCTGGAACTCAATAGTTTCAAGTAGAGAGTTTTGTCATCATGGCCCAAGTAGACGGTGGATTTCAGGACTAGACAGTGATTGACTGGTTTCCTCTTTAGCAAGGGGTACCCACAGTGGATCCTTCACCAAGAATCTGCCTCTAGTGAATGATGGCAGACCACGTCAAGAACAGAAGGACTGAGGCCAACATGACAGCAGAATCCATTTCCTAGAAGCTCAAAGAAGTGGAGAAATTACGAGATACTCATTTTCTCCAGTCCTACCAGTGAGTTCTCTAAGAGCACAAAGCAAAGCAAGATGTCAACTTTGCCACCCCATCACTGGTACCCAGCGTTGGTCTCCATACCTAGTTCAAATGCTTGCTATTTGATGAACGAGGAAGCAAGAGTAATAAAGTTGAACTAATGTGTAAACAGGGTGGAAAACAAAGAAATCCAGTGTCTCTTATTTCGACTGTCTCTATTGCCAACATTTCAATGAGCACACAGACTTTAGTAGGAATGACTCTATGTTTTCTCTAAGTATGAAACTCTAGTGACCTTCTTAAGAGTCTGGTTTCAGAAACTCCCTCCAAATCAGAGCTTACATTGAGAGACATTCTGCAGCTCTGAGGCCCTGTAAGGCGTGATAGGGACCAGAGCATCAGAGCACTCTGCAGTCACAGCTCAGTGTGACTGTACCATCTAGTGATGTTGAGATTTTGTTATTGTTGGACAGAGGTTCTCCTGCAACCCACATTGACCTCCAACATGACATGAAGCCAAGGCTAGCCTCGAACTCCTGATCCTTCTGCCCTTAACTGATTTATATGTGCATGACCCCATAACCCAGCTTGGTTAAGTTGCTATAACTTCTCTGATGCTTGAAGTTCCTATCTGCAAAATCTCAAGTTAGTGCTCTAGGGCCTTGTGGGAATTCGGAAACGTGTTGTGGGAAACCTTTACAGTGCACTTCACAAAGTAAAACAAGCTAGGTGATTAGGCAATGGTGCCTAATGTTTGTGGATTTGGTACACCCATCTCTGCCACCTCATCTATCCAGAGCCTAGGAGTTGTCTCTGCTCCTTCATATGGAGTGAGGAAGAGGCTGATAAACTTGTTGACTGAAGGGGTGCATGCATTAGAATGCCCCATATCACTGGTCTCTCAAATACTGCTCCCAACAACTCAGTTTAACTATGTCAGTTGTGTGATATTAAATGGGAAAGGCACATTTGCTGTCGTCTAATACTAAAGTGTTAGGTTTTATATTAAGAGTGACAAGGTAGAATTATTAAATGCGTCCTCCCAGAGGATGCTAGAGCTTCAGTGAGGTCAGACAGCATCATGGACCATGGTGCACCAGTCTCATATGACATCTGTTTAAATTGCCTTTGCATGCCAGTTTCCAGATCCCATCTTCCCTGAAGCCTTGAACTCCAACTCATCACCCACAATTTGTCCTTGATGTAGTCCCCCCCCCAAGAGTGTTATGCTGAAACCTAGGCAAGGCAATCACAGAGTCCATCAAGAGTCACAATGCAGGTGACAAGGCTCATCAAGCAACTAGATCTGATGTCCCAAGGTGAAAGAGGAAGCAGGCTCAGATTTAGTCCCAGTCTTAGGGCTGGCCCAAATGCAACTTGGAACATGCTTCATGGAATTGCTACTAGGAAGAGAAAAGGCCCCTAGAAGCTAAGTCCCAGACTTTGAGATCCCCTCATCCAGCTGAGATTGATATCCTCTGAGGCTGTCCTCCGGGGTCTGCCGAGGGCTGAGGATAAGATGCTGAGCAATGGGAGGTGAGGTCTCTGCTTGCACAAAATGCACATTTCGGTCATGTGCAGGCACACCAATCTGAATAATGGCCAGCAGGTTATAAAGGTGGCAGAGTGCCTTGATACGATTTGGTAACCACTCAGATCCTCTGGAGGGATAGCTTCTCAGAGGCCAAGGCTTGGAGGAGACAGATGTCGCCATCCGAAGTTCACAGTGGAGAGCTTCAGGCCCCAGGGACAGCAGCAGAAGGCAGAAGTGCTAATGAATGGGAGAGAGGCAGGTCGAGCTCTGAGAGACAGAAACGAACAGCAGCAGGTCAGACCACAGTTGGGCACCACAGCATGCAGGATTTTGTGCACTGTGGGGACAGGCGAGACTTTCCCCATTGACTGGATGTCTCAGAGGTCACCTGGCGTGGAAAAAAGTGAATGTTCCCTCCGAAGAAGGACAAGGATGCTGTGGCTTAGATGCAGTCTGCCTCTCAGAGTTTGTGTGTTGAAGCCACTGTCATGAGTGTGGCTATGGGAAATGTGGAAATTGGGGAGCTGAAGCCTCAGCCAGACCTCGTGGCACACACCAATACTAAGGTGATCCAGGCAGGAATATCAGAAGTATGAAGCTGCCTGGTGCTATATAGCAAGACCCTGCCTTTAAACGAAAGTGGAGCTCTGATGGAGGGCCGTAAGTCATTGGGGAGAATGCCTTCAGAGGAATTTGGAGACCCCGATCCTTCCAGCTTTGCGATGTGATCTGATGATATCGCAGGCCTGATGTGTGGGTTGGTGAAGGGGGCTGGGCTCGCAGCCTGCACTGTGCTGTTTTTACTTTAAACTTACGATACTGTAAACCAAATAAAACTTTTCTTAATAAAATTATCCTGTCCTCAGTATTTGGTTATAGTGTTGAAAATGGAATACAGAAGGCAACATAGAGGCAAATTTAAAAGAATAAGATGGGTTACAGAAATCAGAAGAAGAGCTTAGCATGGTGGTGCACACTTTAATCCCAGAACTCGGGAGGTAGAAGCAGGTGGATCTCTGAGTTGGAGGCCCCCTGGTCTGCAGAGTAAGTTCCAGGGTAGCCAGGGCTGCACAGAGAAACCCTGTTTCAAAAAACAAAAACAAAAACAAAAGGGGAAATTTGAAGCAATTTATAGCCCCAATTATCTCAATTATAAATAATGTAGAACTGTCCATTTGACTATTCCAAATACCTGTGAAAAGATTCTTTATACACTGTTTTCACTCCTTTTCCAGCTGCGATCTGTTACCGTAACTTCCTGATTTTGGGGGTGCTGGTGCTCAGCAACTGGGGTTTTGGAACCCCATTTTCTCTTAGCAGTTGTGGGGTTTGGGACTCCCCAGAAGTCAGTCCTTTTCATTTGGCTGACTGACCCTGCTCATAGACTGGAGTCGGATAATTCTTTCACATCTGGCACAAGTTCATTTGTAAGATCAAATCCGTTTGTTATGTCCACATACAAAGTTTATTAATAGCTGAGAAAGCCACATGCCTGTGTCTGAGTTGCGATGGGTGAGCCAAGTGAATACCACCAAGGATTTTTTTTTCACTTCTTCTTGTACAGGGAAAACCATCCTCTCACAGCTCCCCCAAACCCTAGCACCTCAAAATTCACCAGGAAGATAGTCTTATTTTCAAAATGCAACAGAGTTGCAAAAAGAGGAGAAAACGGTTTTGCACATTGGCCAATTGGCAGCCTGAGCAGGGCAGGGTAAGGAAGAAAGGGCCTGAACTCTCAGGACTATTGCTGAGTGCAAGGCGCCCTCTACTGGTAGACACAATCTGAGACACTGTACGCTGAAAAGTGTTTTATTGGGGATACTTGCTTAAATTCTGTTTGCCTAAAACGCAGGGGCTATTCTTAAAGAATCTAAAAGAAAAAAAAAAGAGGGCCATGGCCCACTCAAGAGAAATCTTGTCCTGCTTTTACTCATGATGCAGAGTGTTTTTCAAGGCTGTGATGTGTTTATGGAAGTGGTCTGGTGGAACACCATATATGTGTCTAGCTAAGCAAGAGTGGCCTCATTCTTGATCATCCTGCCTCTGCCTCCCAGCTGCTGGTGCAGATGTGTTCCCATGTGAGATTATTTAGTAAATACTGTGGAGTTTAGAACAGCGTGGAAGAAAAGGTTGGCATGTCCATAGCAAGGAAATCATTTTAGTGGCCTGGTAGGGGAACCAGGTCTCCATCTTTGAACTAAGCTTGGAAGATGGCGTTGTGTGGTGAGTAAGGATTGAGGGTGTTCCGGGTGTTGTAGAAGTTATTAAGGTTCCAGTGTTCTTTCCTATAACTCTCTGTTACACATTTTAGTACAGCACATAGATTGTCTGTCCAGTTCAATTCCCTGTCTTCGGCATTGTGACCATTCAGCAGAGGCACAGAAGTCCTGTACAAATGTTAGAATCAGATTCAGGATTTGTTGAGTCTTCTTTTGCTTTTATGTTGGTTGGCCTTCCATCAGGACAGTGGACCAGGTACTTAGATGAATTAGCCATAGAGTCTGCCTTCAAAGGCAGGGAGTCTCTAAGGGGAGAGACAAGATGAAGACAAATAACTCAGATGAGGCAGAAAGCTGTGAGTCAGGAGAGAGATGTGAGATGTGGCCCATCAGTGGGAACCCTTAAAGGGACGAGGCATGGAGGACTAAATCAGGAAAGGGATGTGGGATTTGAACTGCCAGTGGGAATCCTCCAGATGAGACATAGAGGACTGAGTTATAACAGGGATGTGGGATTTGAATCATCAGTGGGAACCCTTAAAGGGACGAGGCATGGGGGACTAAATCAGGAGAGGGATGTGGGATTTGGACCTTCAGTGGGGATCCTCTAAAGCAAGGTTTTCTTTCTGAGGAACCAGGAAGAACTTTCCCTTCATTATTTCACTTATGACCTCTGACCTTGCTGTAGTGCTGATACTTGACCATGGAAAATAGTACAAGGCAGTGGTTTCATAATTTTGTTCCATAGTTTGGGAATATTAATAAAACTACTGTTTTTAAAAACACAAAGAGTTAAAAATACAGTGACTATGAACTTGTAGGAGAAAACATGCTACAGTGTCTGTCTGGTTGAGGGTAAATATTTGTGCCATTATTACAGCATAAGCACAGATTAATGGTTTAATAGAGGACTATGATTTAGCCAGAGTGGGAGCAGAGGAAGGACACTAAGTACATGTGAATACAGAAGAGAGTTAGAAATTCACACACAGGGAAAAGCTAATATAATAATATCTAAACTTACATTAACACATATAATGATTTAAACCATGTTTGGCAATATGGACTTTAAGAGAGAATAATCAGTTAAGTGTTGAGCATGATTAGTTTAGGTGCAAAGCTTTACATTAAAATAATGTAAAATTCATGATACCATTTTAAAGAGAGAGTTAAAATGTTAGGTAAGCCAAGAGTGGCGGTTCATGACCGTAATCCCAGCATACAAGAGGCTGAGGCAAGCAAAGCAGATTGCTATGAGTCTGAGGTCAGCCTAGGCTACATGCCAAAACCTTACCTTTAAAAAAGAGGGGGTGGGGGCAGTGCTTGGAGTGTAGCTCAGTTGGTAGAGTGCTTGCTTAGCATACAGGAAGTCCTGGATTTGAGTCCCCAAACCACATATAGCAGAGGTGGTAGCAAATGCTGTAATCTTATCACCTAGGCAGGGGGTAGGACAGAGGCAAGAGGGTCAGAAGTTTAAGGTCATTCTCAGTTTCATTGTTCTTCTGTTCAATTTCTCCCCCTGGTTACTTTAGGCATGCCGCCTCTTTTTTTCTCAGAGCTTTTTTACTTTACTTTAAATGTGGTTCCCATGGAAGATCACGTTGTCTCGGTCAACCTTTTTCCTGGATGCAACTGATGAGACTCAAGTCCACTTGGAAGGAGAAAAAAAGGGAAAGAGGGGTGGGTGGAGAAAGAGGTGAGGATTTCAAGAAGACATTCTAGATGCTGCAAAGGAAATCGTGTCGGGAAGATCACAAGGAACCAACAAGAAAGGCAAGGATGGGTCCAGAAAAGCAGCAAACCAAGAGAGTGATGGAGTAACAAAGGAGGCAGAAGCAATTATCAAAGGGAAAGCCACGGCATTCCAAGTCTCCAGAGCTATGCTGAAAGAAGAAAGTGAGAGAGCTGGACAGCAAGCAAGTCTCGAGACAACTTACACACTTCCCAGGATGCTGATAAGTCTCCCTTCACAGTGACTTGATCACTTCTCCTGACACAATTCTGCCGTGGGAGACACCTTCCAACCAGCCCGATTCTCTTTACCCTGGATGCCACAGAACAATGTTGCAGCTTACAGTTCTCAGCAGTAACTAGTGGGCTACACGTCATCTTTAATAAGCACAGGCAATACAATATATTTTTATTAAATAACTCAAACAAGAGCTGTAGAAGACAGTTATTTGAAGCGTGCCTCCAACTGACTGAGGAACAGTAAAATATTCCAAGCTGGGAAGTGGGGAAGTCGTTACACCACATTTGATGGGTTCAGCATTAAGTCTGAGTAAATGAGACCCGTATTTATCTAGCTCTCTCTAGGATAAATGGAAATCTAGTTGTAAAAATGAATCTAAAATCAAAACATCTGTTCCTCTTAAAATAATGTAAAATTCATGAATTCATGGAAAAAATCTAGTTTAAGATGTCAGCTACTATTAACAAAGCTGAGAAATGAGAGGCAAGGGGGGAGGCGGTGTGTGTTCTCAAAAGATGGCTTCCCTCTCAACTGGAAGAATTAGTCGGTGTTAAGAGAAAGAGAGCTTTGAAACATGAAGAGATAAATATCGAAGAGTGAAAGCAAAGAAAGCCCAAGGAGCCCACAGAAGTCATGGAGGAAGCAGTCTCGAGGCGCTTTAAAGCTCAGGTCTCTGTTAGGCCCCAGGATGCCCCCCCTCCCCACCTCCGGGCAGTAGGTGCTGATGCAAGCACATCTCCGAGAAGTCAGACACCCAGGTTGTTTCTGCTAAATCCAGCCAGTCATTATCTGTAAGGCAGCACCGAAAACCAAAGCATGTGGAATGGTAAAAGCAAAAAATTGAGCTGAAACACATCAAACAAGTCCAGAAGAGTACAAACATAAACATCACTGGGAACCCCAGGACAAAGGTATGGAGGGAGACAGACATTCACAGCTTTGGATAACAGCTGCACACAGTTCTCATAGCCATAACCAGGGAAAGTTAACAAAACTCCGAGAAACTGGGTGCCCAGTGAGAGTAAGGGGCACTAAGGAGTCTTGCTGCTCACTCCAGGTGGGACAGCAAAACTCAGCTGCACACACAGAAACCAAGATGCATTTCTTCAGTATCCACCTGTTCATATGTGTGTACATCCACGAGCCCATGCTTGTGTGAGTGCTTGAAATCTTGTGCATTGTGGACTTGTCAGAGGCTGGAGGCAGGTGTCCGGTCCCCTGGAGCTGGAGTCACAGGTGCTAGCTGGACTCAGCTTGTTACAGGCTGAGATCCAAACTTTGGCTCTCAGGACTACACAAGTCCTTCTAATCACTGAGCCACCTCTCCAGGCCCTAGGTGCAGGTAGTTTTGACTGAACAGTGTTAAGTGGTATATGCATGGTATAAACTGTTTACATATTTCAGGAACAGAATAGTCTAGAGTTGGAGACTTGCTTTCCTTATGATGAATTTAAACCACTCTATGACTAATTGTATAGACTGGAGTAGTCCTTCAGTATCACTGGGGAGTTTATTCCAGGACTCCCCTCCCCAACAGCATACCAAGGTCTTCTTCAGTCCCTTGAGCCAATGGTATGGTATTTGCACGTGAGTTTTGTGCACAATTTTGTTCCGTTTAAACCACCTCTAAATGACTTGGGATGTCTAATACCACATAACACCCTAAGTAGCAGTTACACTGTGCTGTTTAGGGAGTTACAACAAGAAAAACATTTTTCTACATTCACCAAAGTTGGTGGTGGTGTTATCTTGTTTTCCCATCTGAGGCCAACAGATAGAGAGGACTGATTCTGTGTTCACAGCTCAGCCAGACCATCTGTTGGAGAGCCAGACACTGGCAGGGAGGTCAGGCTCCTTTTGCCGGAACAGTAACTCAGCCTCAGGGTTGGGCCACAGGTGAGAGGCCTCTCCCTTGAGGCCTCTGTGGCATTTGAATGGTCTGATGGGGGGAGGGGTGGTAATTATAAGGACTGTGGGGTTGGGCAGCAAGGGTTGAACATCTGATGCTTTGAAGAGAGAGGACCAGCAAGTCAGCACAATTCACAGCCAAGTGTGGAAGCCACAGCACCTTCAGCACCAATCAAAGAGATTCTTATCTCTCCTGCTTGAAGGGTTGGTTTCTCTGAGAACTCGCATCTGAGTCTACTTGTAAGATCAGCAGAACTTCAGACAGATTGAGTTCTTAGCCCAGCAAGCCCTCCAACTCAGGAACCTAGCAAGAGTGGGATACTGAGACACTGAGGAGGATATTACAGTAGATGCCTCAGAGAACCTTGAATGGCCCAGGCTGTGGAAGTGAACTGTATCTCTTTGTTAAAGGATGGTATTTCAGCCAGGTGGTGGTGGCGCATGCCTTTAATCCCAGCAGGGGCAGGAGAATCTCTGTTAGTTCACCATGCAGAGAAACTCTGTCTCAAAAAACCAAAAGAAAACCAAAAAAAAAAAAAAAAAAAAAAGAGGATTATACTTCCTTGCTTTGCCTGACAATACGCAGACTTCACAAGTGAAAGGAAAACCCCTGGCCTAGAAGCTGGGCTGTTGGGAACTGAAGCTAATGGAACACTGGAGTGCCTGAGACAGCACCATCCCTGCAAGGCTGGTCACACCACACTGCATGAGGACCCTGCTGAAGGCTGGAACTGGGTTTCCTATGCTACAGAAGTTCAACATTTTTCCTGAATTAACTTGAATTTTGGTTGATAATGTACCTATGATCTGAGAAGCCAGGTTCCCTTCAGCTGATGGTTTTCTAGGCAAGATAACACGGGGAGCCTTTGACATATGGTGCTTGGTGAGGGACTGCAGGCAGGTGAGATAATATATTAGACCATCAGAATGTGTATCAACCCAGTTGAGGTGACTCTTTCAGACCAGAGGACTGTCCAGGGCATGTGGAAGGCTAACAGTGGTAACTTGTTGGATCCTTCCTCTTGGAAGGTTCCTACTGAGCAGGAGAACCCTGCCTTGGCAAGTCTCAGTCTTGGTCAGAGGAAAACACTGTGAGGTTCACACAGGGCCTCAGTTTCTTCTCGCAGGACAATTCTATTCATAAGAGACTTGTGAGGGAAAGGAGTAGTCAAGGATGGAGGTTGGTCAAAATTAGCCAGCTACATCTTCCTCTCCAGGGAAATGTCCAGTGTCCCTTCTGTGGCTGCCCCATGCTGGGTATAGGATGAAATGCAAAGGTCATTGCCCTCAGTACCTGTTGCTACATGTCCACATACACACCTCCAGGTCTCTGTGTCTCACCTTCCAACTTTGTGTCCACCAGGCCCTTAGTCAGTCACTGAAATGTTTCTAGTAGCTCACTAGCCATGAGTCCATTAGTCTTCTAATCCCACGTCAGTTACCTTTCTACATAAAGTGGATGGGTGTGGGCACCAGCAGAAGTTCTGCCTACTGGGAAGACTTCCTGTTTTTCAAGGCTGCCCATAAACAAAGATAAAATAGTGTTGTTTTTATCTAGTTGTTCTATTCCCAATAAAGACTCAGGAATCTGATATTAGGATGGAGCCCTGATAGATAAAGAAGTTGTGGAGGGGCAGCCACCTGACCTCATCACCATACTTCCCAGAACAAGGGGAAAGGACAAGAATCCCTTTAGTTTCCAAGTCCTCCCTACACCTGCCTGTGCCTCACTATCTGTATCCTGGGTCCCCCATATTCTCTATGACTAGTTCTTGTCAACTAGTCGTGGGCTCCCCCCCATTCAAGATTAACTTTATTAACACAGTCTTGGGGGTGTCACAGTGTGATCAAATATCTCACAACAAAATAGAAAAGTTCATTTTCAGTTCTCATGTAGACAGATGAGTGTGTTGGAGAAATAAGTACAGGTGACATGACATGGGGACCTGGTGTCTGAGACATCTGTGCTTTCTGGAACTTTTCTAGCCCAATCCAGCATGGTCTGATAGTCCTTAGCTTGGTGTGTGAAATCCTGATTCTGGCCCGTTCATGTCCCATGGTTAGATATCTGTATCTATGAGTATCATCCCAATTCTAGAGGTGGTGTTGGTGAGTGTGTGTGTGTGTGTGTGTGTGTGTGTGTGTGTGCGCGCACATGTGTTCACCCATGGTTTTAATGATATAAAATTCTTTTATGTTGCAAATAGTCTTGCAGATGATATGGTTCTTCTTAAAAAAATAAAACAACAACAAAAAACTACACCTAAGAATTCATAGGAAATCTGTTCCCTGTGATGCTTGCTAGAACCTCTGCAAGAATCCAGTGGTAGAGCTGCTTACTGGGCAGGCCGATTCTAGTCTGATATTCCTTTAATATCCCTCTGCAAATCTCAGTACCACCAAATACATGGGGCAGAGCAGTATTCCTAAGTGTGTTCTACGCTCTGTCTAGCATCTGAAGAGATGTCCAAACAGTTTTATGCTGCTTTTATGACAGGAGGTGCACAGTGCAGGAAACTGTCAGAACAACAAAAGGATGACCCATTTTGTCCCAGGGCGTAGGATTCCAAATAGTCAATGAATGCACAAGTCCTATTAATATTTGCAGGACTCCCCTCTCTCTCTTAGAGTACTGCACGTGTCTTACCTCTCTCCATTTTCAGGGTCAGCTTATGTGGCATCAACAGCATTGACTAATGTGACTCTGCAGCATGTCCAGATGGTCCACATCCTCTCTGACAATACAGTGACACAGAGAAAGAGAATTAACATATCTCTGGGGCAAGGCAATGAATGGACTCTGCCGTTCATCCTGTATGAATGCAGATTGCTTCTGTCTGCCTTTTTGATGAGTATTGAAAAGAATGTGTTCATCAGATCAATAGCTCCATGCCACTTGCCAGGGCCTCTAATGAAGACCCCACTTCTTGGACGGCAGCTGCAATTGGTTGTGGTATTTGGTTAAGTTTGCAGTAGCACACTTATTGTCCATGGTGAGTCTGGTTCTCTCAGGACTATTGCCTGTTTCCTTTAAATCATTAAGTGATATGGGTCTGCTGTCTCCCAGCTATGTGCTCAACATTGTATAGCCATGTCTGGAGGGAGAGGGGTCTTCCAGGGCTTCCCCTTGCCTTTCTTACTGGACACTGAGTTTACAGTTAATGAATCAATACATTGTATAGCCATGTCTGGAGGGAGAGGGGTCTTTCAGGGCTTCCCCTTGCCTTTCTTACTGGACACTGAGTTTACAGTTAATGAATCAATGTAAGAACTTTGTCAACAACTTCCTGTGTTTATTTTCATCATTTACCCAACAACTGGGGATGTGGCCACTGGTGTCTGTATCCAGTAGCAAGATGGACCTGGGCCAGAATCCTATCACATGTTACCCTTGTGTCTGGTGTTTTCAGGTAAGGTGTTGAATGTATGGGTTTAATGTTAATTTGAAATTTGTCTCTACCACCCCTCAAATGGGGTGAACATTCCCTTTTCTTCAGTGTGCTATTTCCTGAGTAATTGGTCAGTGGTCACTTTGGTGAGGACATGGCAGAATCATATGCACATACACTCACAATACACATCACACACAGAAAACATACACACTCACAGATGTAGTATGTGTATATGAATGTAGTCTTAGTTGACCTTTTATCGCTCAAACAGAACATCTGACATTAATTTAAGAAAGTCCAAGAGCACTGATGCCATACCCGCCCTGGATTCTGGTGGGAGCTTTGCTGTTGGTTAACTCATACTAGAAAGCATGTCCGTGCAAAGGAAAGACAGAACGAGGGTCACCTGTCTTCACAACAACCTGCTCTTCTAGTAACTAGCCCACACTCACAAGTGCCACATTAACCCATTCACAAAGCCCCCCACACCTCCAAGCACCATATGACAAGGAATTAATCCTCACTATGAGTTGTGGAGGAAAGGAGCCGTATTCAAACCACAGCTTATCGTCCATGGTAATTTAGAGATTGGGCTTTTGGCGTGGACAGCCACCACCAAGCTCTTAACATTTCTAGGGTGCTCACGCAAAAGCGTCCTTTACCACCCCCACAAATGGCTTGTCTCCCAGGCCTCCAGAGCCTTAGGGTCAGTCACTGCATTTGCTGGTATCATGTGGTGTAGCCATGCTAACACATATGATGTTACAGATCAGTGTTTCTTTCCTGCCAGTCTGTTATTGTGGCAAATATTTTACTTTGTGTGAGCCATTGCTTTGGTCAAGTTTCCTGAGCCATCGAGGCAATGTCTTTCACCTGAGGATGTCTCCATTTATCCAGTAAATGTATTTCATGACTTGTCCCAATGGAAGGGAGAACCTGTGTCTATATTAACTCTTGGTGCTGACAGTGCTGTGAACACAACAAACATCTCCGATGCCCCACAGGCTTTATAATGAATGAATGCATCCCCAAATAAAATTTGCTTATGATACTGGCTGTGGTTCTTCACAGGAAGTCCTCCATAACATGGGAAAGCATACCTTAAGTCATATCAGAACACTGACCAATGAGTGCCCATTCTCAGGGAATAGTCTTTGTTTAAGGTCTTTTAAAAATATTGTTTCCTGTTGCTAATTCCCTCACCCCAAACTACTGTCACTTGTCAATGTAGTCTTTTAAAAAGCTAAAGGTGTTTCTAGAATCCCTGCTTACTCCTAAATTTGGTATTTTCATTATTTTGCTGTTGTTGTTGCTATAGAAGAAGGGAAATTTCTCTCAAGAACACTGGGAGCCAGAAAGCCCCTTTCTTCCTTGCCTGGGACTTCAGCAAAGCACCCAGAGCTTTGAGCCAACCACACATCTGTTATTGCCAATTACAATGAGAATTAGAAATTGTTACCATTTTCTGAAAACGTGCTTTGTAAGCAACCAACATGAGTGTTATTTTCATTTTTAAAACTCCATCTATTCACTTTTAGAAAAAATATAAAGACTACACTGTTAGAACTTTACTGGGTGGGGTCAGGGTTTGTATGAAAGCTCTGGAGTGTTCTGCCAGGCTGATGTTCTCATTTGAAGCATCAGATTGTCCACATTTGTGTTTTACTTACATGCAGGTTACCAAACAAGGCCTCTTTTGGGGTAAGGACTCTCCTGTAAAGCACCAAAGTATTTTAGGAAGAAAAAGTGTAAGCAAAGCAGAAACCTAAAAATCAGCCCAGTTTTGTTTACTGTTTAACACCTTGCATTGACATAAAGCCATCTGGGAAACCGTTAGTTCATC